GTAAATATAAATTGACGATACTTGGGCGTTTTGCTCTACAACATAAATTGTTCACATACATACTGAAATTGCTGATTTTGAAGTAATTATGTTTATTTTTTTAAAAGTATGTTTATAATAAGTAACTACATAAGAATGTTTGAGGTGTGAGTGTGTAGAGTATATGTTGCAGAACAAAAAGTCCAATTATCTTTATATCTACTAACTCATGTATTGAAAAAACCCCATAGGAAAATATTGAGGGAACCCATAGTGAATTAGCCTTCCAGGTTTTGACGTCACGACTGCAGCACAAACGACAACGATCATATGATCCACTCAAATCCAAAATGGACAAATTCAAGTTCCACCCTAGAATTTTTCCTGTTCGAGAAGCTGTTTTCACCAGATATATACATTACAATAGGTAACAGAAGATGATTGCAACTTCCATTTAAATAAAGATATGCGATCTACTGTGGTTTACTAATGTTTTGGGAAGTTAAACCAAAATGCTATAAAAAATATTTAAGCTATAAAAATGGAGCACCTCTAATATTTCAGCAAATTTAAAAGTGCTTGTTAAGAGTTGTTCATGTTCCTTATATTCACTGTAAAGCATCTAAACTTTTAAATTACCTTTAAAAAATGTTGTGTTGGTAAAGCAAGTGGTTATGAAGTAATATGATGATAACTTTGCAGCGCCCCCTGTCGGCTCGGTACCATTAAAGTCAACATGAAATCAAAATTCCTTCCCACCTAATGCTGTTGTGACATTCTCCTGATCAATATCACACTATGCTCGTTCATCCAGAAGAAACTGTTCCCCTGACTGAGCCTGTTTCTCACAAGGGTTTTTTTTTTCATCCAATTCTGTCACCTGATAGAGTTTGGGTTCCTTTCCTATTGGCTTGCTTAGTTGGGGTCAAAAAGACACTTAATATTCAGTAATATCATGGATTTGACAGAACTGACACTATCGGATGAGCACAAAACTTGAACTGCATTGAGCTGAATAATAACACTGTTGTCTTCTGTAGAGCTGCTTTTATAGCTGAATTGAATTTGTTCATTATTCATGTATATATTGCGACATCAACACTGTTTTTAGACTAAATCAAAATTCATCACTTCTCTGATGACAGTTTACGCAATATCTGATCAGACGGCTTGTGTAGGATCGGCAGAGTCTTCTCTATCTTATCCAGTCCTTTGCATGCCAAGTCATTTGCCATAGAGACTACAGAGAGACACAGCAACTTTTGGTAAATACTTATTCTCACTGTAATCAGCCCTGATTTCAAACTGCAAACAACAGTCGGCTTACTCTGAGGCTCTAGCTTGCCAATGATTAGTAAAGCACTGTGAAAAGCAGCTGAGGTTATGGATTTCACACCATTCTCAGCCACCTCACACACAGACTTCAAGTATGGATGGGTGTTCTTGGTGTTGCAGTACACATTTGACACCAAGTCATAGGTGGAAATAACCAAGGGAAGGTGAACTATCCGTTCAACCGCATTCTAGAAAGGAACAGACAGGAATGAACAGATTAATTGACATTCTAACCAACAAACATATATATGTATTTAGAACTATTTTCATAGTATTAATAATTAATATTAAATTTTAAATGAGGATTAAAATGGCATACCTGGTTATTCACAACGTCCACAGAAGCCATGTCACTATAATTATCAGAAAGTCTGCAAAAGATCATTCAAACTGTCATAGCAAATAGAGATTACTTTCTTTCTTCTACTTGTTAATAAAAATGTGTAATCCAGTAAATAACATCTCAGAAAAAAAGAGAGGTTTAAATATCAGCATAAGAATAAAGAAAAAATCGCTACCTGTGGTGCAGTCTGAGGTTGCAAACAAAATTGACGAACTGACTCTTCAGTTGCTCTATTGAGGATTGAGCGCCGGTTCCGGATTTTATAGGAGTCACGACGGCTGATGTAATCCAAAGGTCGGCGATTTCACTGTGTGGCGGTGTTTACAAAGATCATTCAACGGTTAGGCCCAATTTTCTGGTAGCCTACTTCTGTAAAGTTGAAAGCATTCACAGTTTGTGTAGCCGCCTCACGCCTGAAACTTGTGACTTGTGCAGATTTGAAGAATTACTGAAAACAAACATCTGACATAAGCCTATTGCAACAACTTCACGTTTTACTTAATAACTGAGTAATGTAGATGAAAGTTCACACATAGAGTCAGTTCAGGTGAAGTAGGGCAAACAAGTAGGCCTATGACCGTTTGCCCTATCAGGAGTTCATCGTCACAAAGGATTTTGTTATTATGAAATGTTGTCATCTGACATCTTCATTACCAGTGTTGGGGGTAACGCATTACAAGTAACGCGAGTTACGTAATCAGATTACTTTTTTCAAGTAACTAGTAAAGTAACGCATTACTTTTTAAGTGAAGAGTTACTTTTTCAAATAAGTAACGCAGTTACTTTTTTCCCATTTATAGATTGAAAGCTCTCCTGTGCCCATGTTGAGAGAAATCGGGAGTAAGATGTTACGTTAGTTCTAGAATAAATGTGAACATGCTTTAATTCATCTCACTCACAGAAAAAAAAAATCACATTGTTTTCCTCAAAATGAATAAAAACAGTTAAAAGCAACTCAGAATATGACGCAAAGCTGCAATAATTAAATATGTTAAATAATACAAATATCCTTTATGTATTTAATCCCATTCTATGTAATGCAATATTGTAATGCATTACTTTTAAAAGTAACTTTCCCCAACACTGATCATCACATGGACGTACCGATTCACTCAACTCAAGATGCTATGATTCCCAATACTGATTTCCCGATACGAGTTTTTATTTATTTATTTATTTTTTAACAAAATAAGATTTAAGACAAATTATAAATGAAAAGATGTCCTTTTATTATTGTTTGGACAAAATACTAAATTCTTACTTCATACAAACAAACTAAGGCTTTGTCTGTGCTCTTTCCATTCAGTTAGAGGCAACCAATGTATTTTAATCAAGATCCAAAGATGCGGCAGGCCTACATGCAGCATGAGCAGAACAAATTAGATTGTAGAATTTCGAAATTTGAAGCAAAAACAATGGTCTGACTTTAACTTTGTGAAATTATACTAAATAAAACATCTGAACGAGACAAAAACAGCTGACTGAATGAGACGCAGATTCACTCTCTGACAGCAGGTGGCGCTCATGGAACAGCAGCGATACAGCGTTTCCTTGGTTACCGCTGTCAACAAAACAGTGCTGAACGGCTCCGTGTGCTTCATAAACGAACTGTTCAAAAAGGATTTTTGGATCGATTCATTGAAAAGAACCGACTCAAAAGAATGATTCGCACAAAGGAACACTACGGAGCTGAACGCGGTTCAGTAATGTGATTTTCTGTTTCAAGAAGGAACATGCACATGCAGCTGGTATATATCATATTTTCAATTAATTTGGCCCACGAGTTAACTTTTAAAGACTACAGCAGAATTATAGTTAATAGGATATAAGCTACATATTTTTCTCTCCTGAATTAGCCCTTTTTGATAAGATATGTATTGTGCTCAAGAAGGCCTAGCCTATATTATTTTGTACACTTTAGCAAGAAGGTCGTACCTGGAATTTACTGTTATACGTGGTATATGTTGTAAATAGGCCTACAAATATCTAGAAATAGGTGTGTCATGTAAGTGATGTAGCGTTGTATAACCACTAGATGTTGCTAAATTAAAAGAAATGAAATTCTCTTGATAACATTTTTAGACGCTTTTTTTTAGGTATCCTGCTAGCTAGACTGAGGTTGGTTGCCACAATTTTTATTCTTTGAAGAATATCTAGCTCCCTGGGCGCCGCAGCAACATGGCTGCCCACTGCTCCGGGTGTGTGTTCATGGTGTGTGTGTGTGTGTGTGTGTGTGGGTGTGGGTGTGTTCACTACTCACTGTTGTGTGTGTGCACTTGGATGGGTTAAATGCAGAGCACAAATTCTGAGTATGGGTCACCATATTTGACCACTTCACTTTCTTTTTCAAATACAAAGAGAATAGAAGTGAGATCTTGTAAGTCAGAAGTCAAGAGAGAAATAACGTACAATAGCATCATTCTAAGTTTAGCATTTGCCTATGATTACTAGGTCACAAGTGATATCTCCAAGATCATAAAATCTGCTTAAAGACATAGTTCACCCAAAAATGAACATTTTGTCATCTTTTACTCACCCTCAAGTGGAATTATGAAATGAAAGTATGAATTTCTTTCATCTGTTGAACACAAAAGAAGATATTTTGAAGAATGTTGGTAAACAGTTGCCGGTAGCCATTGACTTCCAGTATGGAAAAAAAAAAAATTAAAAATACTATGGAAGCCAATGGCTACCATCTTCAACTATTTGGTTTATAAGTAAATGATGATAAAAAATTTCATTTTTGGGTGAACTATCCATTTAACTTCAAAATGGAACAAAGTTCAAGATAGATATGGGCCTTGCTTGGGATAAGGTCAAGTGTGACGGGGTTTATTACTATTATTATTATTGAGGATAACACAAGGCCCCTTGCTGTGTTTCAGTTCTCTAAAAAAATCACATGTAAGTAAATAACACCGTGTTAAGGTGAAACAGACTTTTACATCTGCACACACACACACACACACACACACACACACACACACACACACACACACATACAAAACCCTTATGTGTAACTTTTTGTCACTTAAAAGTTTTCGAAGTGACTATTTTATTGTACTTTTTTGTACTTTATTATACTTTTTAAAAAACGTTTAGTTACATTTTGTTGTTTCATCATTAATTATTTAGTTTTGTAATTGTTTTACTGTTAAGAGTTTGCTAAAAGTATGCTATTTAATGCTAAATAAAATGTAACAAAAAAAATCAAATGAATCAACCCTGAGAAATATTCACTGTAGTAAACCGTGTGAATCAGAATAACTGTTTTGAAGGGCGGGAGCTAATGGTTTTCCTCCAGTCAGTGCGTTTAAGCGCAGGGAGGAGCCTTTGACAGTCTCCGCTTTGGGGTCGAGTTGATTTCTATAGTATATCGCGCGAACTGACGCTGCTGCTTCGCTTACAGATCTGCGCAGAGCCGCATGTTTTGCACGCTCAAGCGCAGGCAGCGGAGAGCGCTGGAATGATATTCATGCGCGGTGGACGTAGAAAATGACCTTTTGTGATAACGACGATGGCTTGGAATTTTCGTGCTCATCGCCAGAGTCAATCTCTTTTTACTACACTCTATTTATGTTGATTTAAGAAGTCTCCGTCGCTCGCGCAGTTTGGATTTTCTTTCCAGAATGGACCGCGTCAAGAGTTCAATGCAGCAAGTCCCCAACCCGATTCCCAAAGTGCTCAGCCGTCGCACTGGCGGTGCCAACAGTTTGGAAGTTGAAAAGGAAAACTTCGAGCGTAGTCAGGTAAGGAACTGTAAACACCACAGGGCAAGTTTTTTCATGTAGCCAGTGCATCACCAACGAGCTCATTGTATGGCAAGCCCTGTTTTAGGCTATCTATTTCAACAGTGACTAGCCTAGTCGTTAGATACTAGCCTAGTACTTATTCCTTTGCTACTAGTGGTAAAGTTACCATTTTACAATTAGCTAACACTTCTTATATCAGTAGTCACAACTGCATTTTTAGTAGTTTATAGTTCAATTAAAATATTACAAGTTAGCTATTTTAAACTATTTTACTCATACATTTTTAAATATATTATAACGTCTTTTTTATGTGTCCGATCAGGCTACTAGGAATAGGAAGTAGACTATACTAGTAGGAAATAGGTATCAGAAACAATTGGAATACAAAGCTGTTGAACGTGAATAATTCAAATCTCACTCACATACCTTGATTGAATTCAGTTAGAAAATTTGCCATTTGTTACGAGTATAAAACTGAATAACGACTAGTATAGGAGTTTTTACTAGTGAGTGACTACTAATATACTAGTAGCTACATAATTGTCAATTTTGGAATAAGTACTGTAACAAAAAGATTTTTCAAAATTTGTAAATAAAACCCATTGGATTATGTTTTACAGGAAAATGGGAAAAATATATATTCTTTCTGCTTCAAAATTTTAAGTTTAATTCAACGTGTTACGTGGCATTTCTTTGTAATTATTTGTGAAATTAAGTAGCAATTTCTGAGTAAAAATGGTTTTAAAGTAAATCCTACACCTTTTTATTTTTCAGTGTAATGGTATCTAATAAATACTGATGAAATTGAAAAAGTTATTAGTCACTAGTGGACTGTTACTTCTAATTTTGTATTTTAAACTAAATATTAGGGATGTAACGATTCACTCAACTCACGATTCGATTCACAATTTTGATTTCTCGATTCGATTCACGATTATTGTAATTTTTTTTTACAAAATTAGATTTAAGACAAATTATAAATTAAATGTGTCCTTTTATTATTGCTTGGACAAAATGCTGCACATTTCTTTGTGAAATTGAAATATAATAATATAATAATATACTAATATAGCACTTGCATATTACTGCTCTTTTGTTGCGGCTCGCGGTTAATCGTTACATCCCTACTAAATATTAGCAACACAAAATTATTAAAGGAATACATGTTAAACAGTTTGCCATATCTTTAAAAAACCTCTCACTCAAACAAACCATGGAACGAAGTAGGTAGACAAAGACCATTATTTGTTTTTAATTTAATGTATTAGTAAAATGTGAAGCTATTGGAAGTGTTTTCTCACTTTGAGTTCAAAAATCAGAGCTGATCCCATAGTGCTTACCTGATAGGGTGCACCATTTTTGTCATCAAATTTCCTTAAGATCTGCACTTCGTTTGGTGCCTGAAGCACCTACTAATGTGTGTTTTCGAAACCATAAAATGATTTTTTTATTTGCACCGTAAAAGCTGTCATGTTTACAGTACAATAACTGAATGCCTGTTAAATTCAGCTTTCAGTTCAGTGAACCTTTAACCATATCACACCTTCATTTTATCAGTCCACAGTCTAGTGTCATCGATTCAGGACGGAGCAAAGTTCTACCTGGTACTCTCTCAGCATAGGTTAATATTGATAGTGGTTTTCAAAAGTGCCATGAAGAGTTCAATTGCATGCTGACATTTTTCATAATATGACATTAATGTGCATTATCAAAGGTTTAACTCATTAATACAAGACTGTTTCATAACCAGAAGGATCCTTTGTGACTTAGTCTTGTGTTTCCAAACTGATGACCATGTATCGAGCAGATCTAAAAGCTCAGAGATGCAACACTAAAACCAGTGGACTGAGTTTGATGGTCATGCATTCTGATTCTTGGTGTATTTCCATGTGTCTTCAGTCTTTTAGAGAAGAATAAATAATATCTTGTTTATTGTGACCTTTTTAAAGTGCACATGCATTGAATTATGCAGTCAGTATCTGGGTGCTTGATGCTGAAAGTGTGTAACTTGTGAAGTATAGAGAAATACATTCTCATTGTTCATGCACAGATCTTCTCACTTCTCTGGGGGTCTTTCCCCTCCCCATCCAGACACAGCCATCAGCAAAAGTAGGTCACATGAATGAAGCTGCAGCCGACTGCCCTACTGCTGGGTTTCATAGTGTTTGAAAACAGCATGACCTCGTTCTTGCCGAGATTTATTGAGGTAGACATTGTGGCGGCAACTAAAATTCGCTTAATTTCTGGTTTGATAGCAATGTCAGCAATTTGCAGCATCATGTTTGACTCAAGTGTGCAATATTCAGTCCTCCTGTTTACAACTAGGACAGTGACATGGATTAGCGAGACTCATGTGACGCATGCGCTCTTGAACTCCTTTAGGACCTATCACTGGGTCAGACTCAAACGTGAGTCTTCCTGTTTTTAGAATTGATTTTATCAATTAGGTTTTTAATTTAACCAAAAACACTGAGTGCTAAAGTTGAACTATAAAGCCTAAAATGAACGTTCACATCTAAAAATAACACTTCAAACAGCACAAACTGATCAGGTCTCAGAAGGAAATGCTATTGTGAGCAGTCCTTATCAGCTAGTTTGCCTGGAGGAAGTCTGATCCCATAATATCCCGTCTCTTTTCTGCCCTTGGAATGCTATGTTTCGATTAATAGGCCTTCTGTGGTGTGAGTTCAGTCTGTTTTAAATGACAGGATGTTAGTGTGTTGCTCTGTAATGACGTGAGCATGGTTTGCCTTGTGGCTGGGCGTTAGAAGACTAGTGTCTACTTAACTTGAGTTTTATATGGAGGAAATCTAAGCAGGGAACCTTTGTTGTGGTCGGAGTCTAGCAGAGGGACATCCGACCAGCCTCGGAATTCACACAAATGAAATAACATGTTAAGCGAGTGTTGCCAGTAGGGCTGCACGATTAATCGAATGCGATTGTCATGCGCATTTTGATAGTAATGCCGGTTCTGTAATCAGCAGAAAATTATCATCACGGGCTTTCAGATGGCATCGCAGCTTCTGTCGAATCACGATCGCGATCTCGATTCCATTTCGATTTATCGTGCAGCCCTAGTTGCCAGAATAAGTCATCTGCAAATCAGTCTGAAGCACTGTAAACATCCCGCAGAACGTTTCGTATCGGGCAAAGTTCAAGATAGTCAATATGAAAGTAAAACTGGCCCCATTTAGTTTGTTCACTGGTGCATGTTTTTCCAAATAAAATCGTTCTATCAAAATATAGTAATTTGCTTTCTTTTGTTTACACATTTTTTTTTAAAGCAAACTTTCATTCAGGTTTGCCTCCATTTTTGAATGTAACATTCAGGTTTTTTTTTTCCCCATCCAAATGAAAGCTTGATGGTTTAATATTAGTGCCCGGGGAGCAGTTGGGGGTTTGGTGCCTTGCTCAAGGCGGGTCTCACCTCAGTCGTGGTATTGAGGGTGGAAGTGAGCGCTGGCCATTCACTCCCCCCGCCTAATCCCTGCCTGTATCGAGACTCGAACCGTTTCTCATAGTGCTCATCTATGTCAAAATGTTTGAGATGACCAGTCAAATCAATGTAGGCAGGCTTTACTGTTCACAGAGGCTGCTGAGAACAAATTTCAGTGCAACACTTGACACTCATAAAGTGTGAGATAAGATATAATTAGCTAATCTAAACTTTTTCCCCTAATCGTGAAGCACTAAACTAATTAATTCACATTTCCCATCTTACATTTTTAAAAGCCAAATACGAAATATCCTGTTTCACTTGGAAATATATCACATCAGCAAAGTCAAATGAGTTGTGAAAAAAGGTTTCACGTTGACTCTAAGGCAGCCATCTTCATTTGCATTTTTTCAGGTCTCAAATTTTTCATTACTTTAAAGGATTAGTTCACCAAATAAAAATTTGCTGAAAATCAACTCACCCATAGGCCATCCAAGATGTAGATGAGTTTGTTTCTTCTTCGGAACTGAATTGGATAAATTTAGCATTACATCACTTGCTCGCCAATGGATCCTCTGCAGTGAATGGGTGCCACATAACTCCAGTCCATTAATTAACATCTTGTGAAGCAAAAAGTTGCATGTTTGTAAGAAACAAATCCATCATTACGGTGCTTCTGTCATCCGTAATAACACTTCCTCTAGTGAAAAAGTCCATCCACTGTTGTTCTCTCACATAAAAGTCAACTGACATATTTGCTTAAAACTGTTTTAGACTGTTTTCACTGGTAAACAGTGCTTATTTCTCTCCTGAATCAGACAAGATGACTTTTACTGAGAAAGCAATATTATGGATAGACAACATATTTTAACCGGAAGCAATGGTTTGAAGTTAAAAACCCCTTAATGATTTTTGTTTCTTACAAACATGCAGCTTTTCACTTCACAAGATGTTAATTGATAGACTGGAGTCGTGTGGATTACTTGTGGATTATTGTGATGTTTTTATCAGCTGTTTGGACTCTCATTCTGACTGCACCCATTCACTGCAGAGGATCCATTGGTGAGCAAGTGATGTAATGCTAAATTTCTCCAAATTTGTTCAGATGAACAAACAAACTCGTTTACAGCTTGGATGGCCTGAAGGTGAGTAAATTATAAGATCATTTTAATTTTTTTGAGTGAACTAGCCTATTCCTTTTATGCTAATTTAGGTCAGTCACTGTTTGTCCCATTATATCTCCTCGTCCTCCTCGTTATATCAAACTACCCTACTTTAAAGCAGTTAAGTTTATGACCCTGCATCTCTTGTGCTTGTGTTCCTTCCTGTGCTGGTACCGTGCCCATGGAGGAATTCTTGGGAGGGGCCTAATCTTGCCCCTCTCTGTTTTTCCAGGACTCTCCCACATAGAGCCAGACAATCTCGTAATCTCGCCTCCCTCTAAGCAGCCAATCTCCACTTTCAGCATGTCACTTTCTCTATCTACAGTAGTTTCAATATCCTACCAGCCTTTTTTTGCGGTCCAGAGGGCGAGGAGGGTTTGTTGGGGTCATTGAGAGCA